ACCACTTATCATTATTACGTGTCAAATATTTTATTTTTATTATTTTTTCCTTTGTTCTTTGAGTATTTACAAAAACACCTCACTTTAATTCATTTCAGAATTAGGTGCACAATTTAATTGTCTATCAAATTGTGCTATACCATTTTTTACCTGTCTCTTCAAATTTTCGTAGAAAATTCATTTTCTTGTAATTTAGACCTCCATTTTTCAATATACCCATGGAATATTGACATTTTAGATTGTTTTTAAAGCAACAAATCGACAATATGTACAGGTGCTAAAAATGATAATATTACTAGCCCATTTGTATAGAAAAAGAAAACTATTTAAATCTTTATAAAAGAGTATATATATATATAAAATATACCACATTATTTGTATACCATTATCCGTCCAAATATTAATTAATTACATACTTAATCGTGTTAATAAATTATTCTAAAAAAGTATGGATTTGAATCAGAAATCAATATAATAATAAGTTATGAAAATAAACGTCTAGGTTGTTATAAATAAGCCAAAAAATATTTTACCACACTGTCTGATACACATACAAAATTCAGTTTTTTAGTATTTGGAGCAATTATTATTAATCAACGCAAACAGTCAATTAATGTAGTTTGAATACTGGAAGCCATATTAATTGGTCCTTTTTAACAAATATTTAAACAGTTTTTTTTTTATTTTTTAATGAAATAAACGAACTATATCGACAATATTAGTATCTGTACTCTTTAAAAATTTGTTACATCTTTAAAAACAATTCAAAATGTCAATATTCCATAGGCATATTAATAATGAGGTCTAAACTTATAAGAAAATGCATTTTCTACGAAAACTTGAAGAGATAGGTAAAAAATGGAATACAGTTTTATAGACAATTAAATTGTGCATCTGATTCACGTGAAATATACAGGGTGTTCTGTTTAAATTAAACAGGTTATTGCCGTTTAAAGCTAGTAATTATTTAAAATAAATTTTTAGACACTCTGTATAAGGTTGTATAATTTTTATTATTGCAACACAAAATTTAGTAAATAGAAATACTTCAGTACAATATTTGGTTTGAAAAACTTAAATGCGCCTAGAGAAATGAAGCATTAAAATTACTACTGTATTTTTACAAAAAAAAAAATATTTCAAAAACGGTAAGGTTTAAGTGTGATAAACCTTAATCAAATTTACCTTTATTTTAAACGTAAAAACTAAAAATGTAATAATATACAGGGTGTTCCGTTTAAAAAAATACAACTTTGATATTTTTTATTTATTTGGGACACTCTGTATCTTGTAAAATTATTTTTAAATTGTAGCTCTAATAGTCCTCCCAACCCAAAACCCAAAACTTGCAATTTGCAAAAATCTAATCGTTTAGCTACAATACTCCGTGTCGTATGTGGTGAACAACCCTGTATATTTTAGGTATACTCGGCCGAACGAATCAGGGAAGATTTTGACAGACACAACTGTCACTGTCAGGGATTATGTCGTTGGAGAGACTGTATTATGTAGTAGGTATAATATTTCATACTCAAATGTCAGTGTCCGGCAACTAGTGCGTCGGACATCTGTATCTTCTACAATAATAAACTTGGAAATTTTGTTTAAGTGCAAACCTAAATTATGTACTAGGATGTATTTCAGGAAAATATTTTAACTTCTATAGGGTGGCTCAAAAAAGTGTGGGTGTATCGGGATGATTTTTTTTAAATGGAACGCCCAGTAAATTATTGCATTTTTGGCTTTCTTTCAGATCACTTTACATAATACCACAGATTAGGTATACTATATGTATACAGATAAAAATCTTATCCCTAATTCGCGGTACGAAAATTGTTTTTTATGACGATGTGCAAACGAGTAAAATTTCCTGTGCGCAAAAATAAACTTGCGTAAAATAACAATAAACAGCATAATAGAGAGATATCGCTAAACCGAATAGCGTGCATGGACGTTAATAAGGGTGTTATTTCCTTTACGTGAGTTGGTATTAACTCTCTTCATTTATAGTTATCGGATCGGAAAGAATTCTGTTCTCGTCGCGTCCGCTATTTAAACTTAACCTAACTTTGAATTTAAAACCTTGAAATTGCTTTGTTTACTAGGTATTTTAAAACTAAAGGGCTAAAGTGCTTATTTCCAGTGCCTCATTGTTCAACGTCTGACAGTGGGTTTAGGGCAACAAGCAACAAATTCTCTTAGAAGGGCTAAGTCGTCATCTGCTGTAAACCGAAGCCTCTTTATAGGTTCTTTAATAATGGAAGAGGTGGAATCCATATTTTGGGCCATATTTAATTAATTAAAACTTATCCCAGCTACTTAGATATCAAATTACCTAATAAAACTAAAGTAATAATTCAAAACAATTCAAACATAACCTAAAATAAAAGATCTCGCCGCTCGCCGGCCGGCCCCGGTTGTCAAATGTACCCGCATATACCCATTTAAGCAATTTTTGAACGTTATTTAGAAATAGCGCTTGATGTAATTGATCCGCAAATTACGTCAGGCGGTAACGTTATTAGCGGGTGTTGCGTTAAAAATTGACTCGCGCATATCGTAACCATGATAAGGTACGCGCACAGAACACACTAAAGAAGAACGCTAACTCCCATGCATTTTTTAGTTTCAAAACGGTTTCAAATTTGTAAAGAAATCTGTAATCTGTATATTGAAGTGGCGCCATCTAGCCACCCAGGAAAGTAACAAATGTGGCGGCAAATTTAAATAGATGCAATTTATTTTTAAGCAAGACGTATTGACTTGTTCGCCAGTTAGAGCCAATCAGATTTCTACAAAATAATGTGTAGTCATCTGATTGGTCTCAAGTTGGCAAACAAGTCAAATGGTAAAAAACAAGGATTTATATATAAAGGTTAAACCAGGTTAAACTATTGTAAAGTGTTAAATGGTTTGCTTATATCATTATGTGCATAAAAACCTACAATAAATAATTTATTTTAATTTACAGAAAATTATACCATGAAACATTTTACAAACAAATAAAACAACAGATTAAAAAGTATAATATTTATTATAGTACCAGATTTAAGAACACATAACAAATATCGTTGGAATACAAGAGAAAGTGACGTCCATTAGAAACAATGTTTTATTTACGTGTATTTTTTACATATGGACTTGAACAATTGTGGAGTTTATGTACAAAAATATGGAGTTGATCAATTTTTTTTTGTAAAAATATATGGCGTTGTAAATATTACATTGTTAAAAAATAAAATTCACAAACATTTGGACTTGGTTAGGTTACCTCACCTCACTTTCTCGGATTATTAAATAAAATTGTTAGATAAATCAAAGACCTTTAATTTAAACCTTACCTTTAATAAAGATCTTAAAAATCAAACACAAAACAAAGTTCAAAAAAATTCAAATATACAAAATCACGATTGTAAAATGAAGATTGCAAAAAACACAGCCAAACAACCAGAAAACAGCGAAACGCACATCTCCGTTCAATTGCAAAAAACACAACTGAAGAGGAAGGAGGAAGCCGGAAAGGGAAAACGACAAACATAATTAATAGGCCTATTTAGGCAACTATAAAAACAATTTTGTACGCAATTGTTAGGCAACTAGAAAAATTAAAATAAAAATACGCCATCTAGCGCCCCAGGAAATTACTACCCCAAAAAAAAGATCGTTCAAGGTCGTATATCTCAGTTGACTGGCCCTGGGTACGCGTAAATACTGCATGACGCTATTCGGTTTTCCGATATCTCTCTAATAACTGTGCCGGTCAGGCGCTGTGCACAATTTTAGAGGCCATAAGTGGGCGTGCTATGTGCGCAAACTAGTATCCTAACTAATGCCCGATTCCGAAAATTTGAACCACGAAAAACTATAAAGAAAAAACAAAGTTTATAATCTGTATGATGTGTGATAATACTAAGATATGAGTAAATATATTTCGATAATTTTAAAGATATTAATAAATAAATAAAAAATATATTTTTTTTTTCAACCTTTCTTAAAAAAATTATTAGATACAAATACAAGAATTGTCCTGAAATCAGATCTATGTTAGGTATTTACTTTAGATGGTCTATACGTATTTTGCTATAAATATCGTAAACTTAAATCATACAGGGTGTTAACAATTCTACGCCATACTTTCTAAAATATAAAATAATTTTTGTTGTTATTTTTTTAAATGCAACACCCTGTATTTTTTTTGTATTTAAAGTATTTCAAAATTTTTAATGGTTTCGCAGATACACGCAGTATTATTTCATATGGCTCTTTCAATGGTAAAATACGAGAGAAAAATAATTGGGTGGCTTTGATGACAATTTACCGTGGAAAATGCCATATGAAATATAAAACCACGAATATCTGCGAAACCGTTAAATATTTTGAAATACTCTAAATACAAGAAATGCTCATTTTTTAATTCTCCATCTATTGAAAAAATAATATGCATGGTGTTTTATTTAAAAAAAAACGAAGAAAAATTATTTTATATTTTAGATTGACGAAGAATTTTGAACATCCTGTATGATTTACTATTACCATATTATTTATAGCAAAGTAACTGTGTTTCTCTTAAACAATTGATGATGCGGCCACTTTACAAATCGATTTCATAGCCTCTATAAAAACTACTGAATCACTATTTTCTTAATTTGTTTTGAAAGGATTTCCTTCAAAACAGCAAAACATATTAGTCTGGCATGCTTTCACGAAAAAAAAGGAAAGATGCACGTGATTATAGTTCACCAAATAAGTAAACAAAAACAAAACAGTCTAATTATTTATGTAATTTTTACAACGATCGTCCCATTCGTACACATTACATACCACCACCTACGTCATGCAGTGTGATAACTAGACAGAGTATAAGTACCAACCTCTCCAGTCGTTTTGTCATTGTGTCTTCGATTGTTCCATCGAACACAATCAAGAAAACTGTATAGAGCAAGCTCTGTACCAGTCAGTTTAGAAGAATCTCTTCTTGTTCCAACAAAAAACTCAAGAAAATGCCTGCTCCAAGCATCCTCCTTGGTTCCGCCACCAGATACATCGCTGGAAGGAACGCAGTTCAGACAGTGTACTGGAAAAGCACCCCTGGACACCAGCAGAGGTTCCTGAAGTTGGCCAAGACCTGCAATTTTGGCAAAGCGCCCAGTCCACCGTTGAAAGTGAAGGAAATGCAACAAATTAAGTTCTACTAAGTATTATTATTACTAACGTTTCCTGGAACGTTGTAGTTTCTTTGTGATTTTCCAGCTGTTGATGTTCTTAATTTATTATTTATTGTGTATCTGTTATTTTCCGATATCGATGTAAAATAACTTGTGATTCATTCTTTGTTGATATTGTTAAGTTAATTTTTTTACTAGAATTCAATATAATATGCTGATTTAAATAATTACTGTTATATGTTTCATTCAATAAGCTCCTTATCATTATTAAAGTGTGTAGCTGTATCTGACACTCTTAGCAGACTGTACGGAAAAATACTTAAAACCCTAATAGAAGATGAATTTAGCCCCCATGAGATTGAAGAACAAGCCGGGTTCAGAGCAGGCCGCTCATGCATTGATAATATCTTTCCAATCACTCAGATCATTGAGAAAAAGAGGGCAACGAATAACGACCAAATTCATATCCTGTTTGTGGACCTTAGTAAGGCTTATGATACGGTACGAATTAAGAAACTATGGGAAGTTTTCGAAAAAAGCCCAATAAATATAACACTAATAAAAGCGGTACAGCAACTCTATCTGAATTATTCCCAATATCAAAAGGTCTAAAACAGGGTTGTTGTCTGTCCCCAACTTTATTTAAAATCTACCTATCAGAAGCTCTTAAGCACTGGCGCAAGAAGTGCTCTCAGATGGGAATACCTATTAATGACAACCTTTCTCTGTATATACTCTGCATTTCTGCATAAAGTCTGACTATTAAAAATATTTTAAATTTCAGATGGAACTAATACAAAAAAGGACTTTTTTATTAAAAACCAAAAATTGCATCTTTTCAATTTTGAGATTATTTTTAAATAAAACAATGAATAAGCATAATGCTTGTAAATTGGACCAGATATATTCCAAAAACTACTTATTTTTTACTTCATGGAACTTCATCCTAAAATTTCAAATACTAAATTTTCATGAAAAATAATATACTAATCATAAGAAGATATATAGCATTTGATTTAAAAATATACAGTTTTAGTGTTAAAAAATTTGAAACACTCTGTATATTAATAAGAAAAACCAAAAGGTACTATATTTTTTTTTTGATAAAATTGTTAAAATCCCATGTAGAGAATAACTGCTAATTTTGAATAACATTATTAATCAAAGATATTTGAGTATTAATAGAGAATTTTTTAATAGCATCCCTTCTTATAATCTTAAAGTTTACTGCTATTACACTTTTTGACTATACAGGGTGGCGCACCTTATTCGCCTCGGTTTATTATACGAAAACGGAAAGATGTAGAAACAAAATATTTTATGGGTATATATGGCGAGGCAATGTGCATAATTTAAAATTATTTTGAAATGTACAGGGTGTGTCAGAACTAAGACCCATACCAAAGTTATATTTTTTCTTATGGAACACCTGGTATTTTATTTCATTTTTGGATTCTTGGACATAAAATAAGGCATTTATTATAAAGGTTTAATATGTTTAAAAGCTTTGGTTTTTAAAATATTTAAAGATATTTAACTAAGCATGCTGTAATAAAAAAGTTTGTCAACACCCTGTACATTACTTTTCAGAGTTAATTCTTGTGTTGACTTTGAAGCCAGAGAAATAAACTTTACTAAAAAATGTTTTTGCTTCCTTAAATGTATACAGGTGGTATCAAAAATTGCTGGTCTATTTTAAATATTTATTTAACATAAAAACTCCGTTATTTCAAATGCAACATTATGTATTTTTTTAAATATGTCGAAGCAGATTTAAATGTTCTTTCAAACTATATTAGGGTTTCCTATACCTATCTGGCTCAGATTTTGAATAAAAAGCGATTTTTCAATAAAATTGTAATAAAGATGGCTGATGTCGCCATGGCAATTTTCCAGTGACACTCAGTAGCTATTTTCAAAATCGACATTAGTTTATGGACTTTATTTAAATTTATAACGGGTTATTTCTAAATAATAATTGATTTACCTACAATAAGGTTAATAAGTAAGTATTTATTATTTTATTAAGAAAAATAAAGCAGTATCTGTTGGCAGAAGAAATGGAACATAATATCCATTCCTTCCATTCATTTTACTAGTGCTAGTGATTTTTTTTTTGTGAGGACAATTGCTTGTTGGCCTGAAGAGTTTATGCTCAAAGATATCCAAATAGAAATTTTCTTGACAAGAGTTTTTTGGAAATACTACTTTTCCTATTTCGCAGAGCTGATAGTGTGGTATGTGAAAAACCTATTAGGCAGAAACCTGTAGTTGAAAGTGAAGAAAATGAATTTGCCTTAATTCGTTCTTTTATAGAAAATCCAATATGTCTACAAGTCATCGTAATATAAATCAAAGAACTCCTTCTTTATTTTTCTTGATAAAATAATAAATACTTACTTATTAAACTATTGTAGGTAAATTAAATAAAAGTTAACTTTTATAAATTTAAATAAAGTCCATCAAGTAATGTATATTTTGAAAATAGTTGCTAACTGTCACTAGCAAATTGCCATGGCGACACCAGCCATCTTGATTGCCATTTTATTTAAAAATCGCTTTTTATTCAAAATCTGAGCCAGATAGGTATAGGAAACCCTAATATAGTTTGAAAGAGCATTTAAATCTGCTTCGACTTGTTTTAAAAAATACATAGTGTTGTATTTGAAATAACGAAGTTTTTATGTAAAATAAATATTTAAAATAGCCAAACAATTTTTGATACCCCTGTATACATTTAAGGAAGCAATAAAATTTTTTAGTAAAGTTTATTTTTCTGGCTTCAAAGTCAGCACAAGAATTAACTCTGAAATGTACAGGGTGTTGACAAGAATCCAGAAATGAAATAAAATACCGGCACATTACCTCTCTACATATACCCATAAAATTTTGTTTCTACATCTTTCCATTTTCGTATAATCAACCAAGGCGAATGAGGTGCCCCACCCTGTATAACCCCAGAGGAATTATATAGTCAAATATTATACTAAGCATAGTTAGAAAAATATAAATAGTTTTAATAAAACACATAAAAGTAATTGTTTAATTCAGCATGTATTGCATTCTAGTAAAAAATATACTTATAGTAACAATATAACAACAAAAAATCACAAATTCTTTTACATCAAAATCGGAAAATAACAGATACAAAATAAATAATAAATTAAGAACATCCAGAGCTGGAAAATCACACAGAAATTACAACGTTCCAAGAAACGTTAATAATAATAATACTAGTAGAACTTAACTTGTTGCATTTCCTTCACTTTCAACGGTGGACTGGGAGCTTTGCCAAAATTGCAGGTCTTGGCCAACTTCAGGAACCTCTGTTGGTGTCCAGGGGTGCTTTTCCAGTACACTGTCTGAACTGCGTTCCTTCCAGCGATGTATCTGGTGGCGGAACCAAGGAGGATGCTTGGAGCAGGCATTTTCTTGAGTTTTTCGATGGAAAAATGTACACAAGAAGAGATTCTTCTAAATTGACTGGTACAGAGCTTGGTCTATACAGTTTTCTTGATTGTGTTCGATGGAACAATCGAAAACACAATGAGGAAACATCAGGAGAGGTTGGTACTTATACTGTTTCGTTATCTCACACTGCGTGACGTATAGGCGGCTGTATGTAATGGGTATTAGAAATGCGACGATCGTTGTAAAAATTACATCAATGGATTGTTGTGTGCTTGTTTACTTAGATGGTGAACTTTAATCACGTGCACGTTTCAGTTTTTTTCGTGAATGCGTGCCAGACTAATGTGTTTTGATGTTTTGAAGGAATGTCTTTCAAAACAAAATGTGTGAAAATAATGATTTCGTAGTAATAACTATAATAGTAATAATAAATAATACTATTCTAAAATGTTAGATTACCTATGTAAAATTTAAAAATTAAAAAAGAAACATATTTCCTCTTTATTAAGTTTCAATCAAGTTAAATCCGTTAAGGTTGATTCTGACTATACCTTGCGTTTCCATTCCATATTCGTTCCGTATTTTTTTATTGTATTGATGCTATACGTAAGCTTCCGTTCCATTCCGTTCCGTGTCAGTTCCATACTTTTTATTGTACAGGGTGGGTCAAATTGGACGCTTTTAAAGGGAAACGCTCTTTTCTATAGGAGATAGACGAAAACTAATATCGGTGTCTGGAGCACAATTTTTGTCAAAAACATGATGGTGAAAACCGCATATCGATATCTGTTACCGTTTCGGAGTTACGGGGTGTTTTTAAAAATATGAATTTTTAACAAATCGCTGTAACTTTTTTGCTACGAAAAATTTTGTATTTTTAGAATTTAATTGTTTAAGTATATTTTTTTAAAAATTAATAATTAAAGAATTTTCAACAGAAAATTTGATTTTTTATATGGGACACCCTGTATATTTTTAATTTATTGAAAAGAATTTAAAATTACCTTTCCAAAAATATAGCACACTTGATATTTTGCTCGATTCCTCTTCGAGATATAGAGTTTATAAAAATTCGCCCACTTTAAATAAGTAGGCTTTGACTGTAGGCGCCGGCTGTAATGCAAAAAAAATTCTAGCTGTGAGCATCAGTTCAAAGGAAAATAATATTTGATATGAGAGATGCAGAATTTTATAACAATTTAAACTATATTTAAGCAACATCACAACACATTTAAACTATATCCAATAACAATAAAAATAAATAGCAAACCAAGACATGAGATTTTGCTACAGGTGTTCGACATTACAGTTGAGGGTTGGAACCTTTGGTGTTTCACAGCAAAATAAAACACTAAATCACCACAATACACCAAAACAATTTTACTTTTACACTGGACGTGCGTTTCGCAAACCATGTTAGCATCATCGGCAGATGATTAAAAACTCCAATACGACATATCGACCGTCTTATGTTATGGACAGACGGGGCCGTGTTTGATCATTTCTTGCGAAAATTCATTAACTCAGTAGGGGTGGAAGATACCTTCTCATAACTGCTAAATATTTCTAGGTCTCGTCTAGATTATACGGGAAATTTAAAAATAAGAACCTTTATTCTTCCGCAAATATTTCCATAGGGTTAGATCCATAGGCACTAAGTCCGGCGGCCTCGACGGCTAACGGCTGGGATCTTGGTTAGCTATTCAATTATTCTTGGCTTATTAAATTGGCTGCGAAAATGTGCTGATAACTTCAGCGTTCTGAGGCGGTGCCTCGTCTTGCTGGAAAAATATGTTTTCGAGTTCCATTAGGGACATTATCATCAATAAGGGGCCCTAAACCTACTAGTTAAAAGAGGCAAACTTTAAAAAATTCTGTATTTCGAAGGGGATTACAACAAAATATCAAGTGTGCTACATTTTTGGAAAGGTAATTTTAAGTTCATTTCAGTTAATTAAAAATATACAGGGTGTCCCAAATAAAAAATCAATTTTCCTGTTGATAACTCTTAAATTATTAATTTTAAGAAAATTATACTTAAACCATTAAATTCTACGTAAAAAGGTGCTTTGAAAATGTTTTCACAAAAATACAAAATTTTCCTTAGCAAAAAAGTTACAGCAATTTCTTAAAAATGCACATTTTTGAAAAACACCCCGTAACTCCGAAACGGTAACAGATATCGATGTACGGTTTTCACC